TCAGTTAAGGGGATCCCCTAAAATTTTCCTTTCTCTGGAGTTAAAAGACTTCCAGATCACAAACAGAAGTTATAAGTCCATAAACTAAAGAACAAGTTCTGCTTTGCACAAATACTCTGGATTTGTTTTATAAAATCTGAACTAAAAGGACCTCTTTAAAATGAAAAGCTTTGTTGTAAGAAAAATATTTCTCTACACATGATATTTATCAGGACTGAACTGATTTTGAGTTTTGGGTAATGTTTCTACTCTTTCCTCATCACCTCTGCAAGGATTCTCTATGTATTTCCTCTAACAAAGACAGGATTAGGTGTGTTTAGAAGCAATTCAAAGAGAAGGGCAGGTGAAGTAAAGAACTTTGCTGTTCACTTACTTGGTATTTTCCAGTGTCTTCTGCATTTTCTTAGTCATCTTCTCAATGGCACTTTGCCTCTTGCCCTCTGGAAGGAGATCTATTTTGTTCAGAACTACCACCATCTTCTGGCAGGCAATCTGCCCAATTACCAGGCACTCTGCTGACTGCGTCTGCATCCCCTTGGTCACGTCTATTACGAGCATCATCAAATCGATAATCTGGGCACCTGGAGGAGAATTCACAGTCAGCACTGTAGCAGGAAGAAAAGATGAAGCATCATTTTCTTCCTTTTTTCAAGTAGCTTCTGTAAAACAACAAAAAACAAGAACAACAAAAAGCCATACACACACATAGACTCAAGAAATTTAAGCCATACTATATGGCTATCAGATCATACAAAAAAAAAGCAGCATATGCTTGCTTGCTTATACTTTCCACTATATTAGCATTAGAGATGATATTGCTGTCTTTTTTTTTGTAAAAAAAGAACAAAAGAGAGAAATGACCTTTGCAGCAACACACAAATATGTGACATTTGTCTGAACTCAAAAGATAAGCTAGGCTTCTTATAAGAAGCCTAAGGAATAAGCTTAATATGCTTAAGGAAAAACAGAGTTCCTACCATTTCTTCCTTTAGAATCCAAAATTTGATATGAGTAAAAACAAGTTCACCACATAATCGGAACACACACCTTGTATCATAACCAAAAATACAACAGATTTCAATCTCTGTTCTTCATAAAAAAGTTCTTAATTTTTAGGCTAAAGTTACTCATTATACTTACAGATTTTTAAATTCCTTTAGAGTACTTAAGGTCATAAAACCTTAACTACCTCAGTGAAGCAGTATGAATCTCAGGGTTTTAAATACATTAGTTTTCAAAGAAGCTTACAAGGAATGCTGGGCATTTCACCAGTCACATCCAGACCTTTCCTGTCTCGTTCCTGCTAAGATATGAGCCCATTCGGGATCACCAGCCAGATGTTAATCTGTCACACAGCTAAGAGCCATTTCCAAACACATGTTTTGAGTAACACACCAAAAAATAAATTGCAGATTGTAATATAAAAATCTTATATATAAAAAAGTAAAACAAAAATCTAAAACTGAACACCGACAAGTTTTGCATCTAAAAACACATCTTAAAAGCTAGGAAAATACTGAAATAATGATGCAAAATTAGCAGATCTCCAAATTTAAGTACTATTAGTATTTGCCTACAGCTTTTGATCACAACCACATGAAATTAATGCAACTGTTCTCTGCCCTCTCCAACCCCACTTTCTTTTTTTTTTCCTGTGCCTTCACAATAGCTGTCACATGGAAAGAGCCACCCTTGTCCCCAATTCCCATGAACTCAGGATAGGAAATCGTTCTGAGGCTGGTGCATGGGTGAATGTGTGGGTGGAAACTACAACAAGAAAAAAGTTATGGTTACAAACGACCATTTTCAGCCTACTAAAGCTTTCATCTGGCAACAATGAACGCTAAAGCCTGCAAAGAGCCAGCTGAATAATTACGACGTTTGTGAAGTTCCTGCGGCTTCTTTTTCCCCAATCCTTTAAAAAATATAATTCTCCAAGACAAACTGCAGACAGACATTATCTCCTTCGGATGTATCTTTTATTTTTACTGTTGACAAAAAAGTTTGAATTTAGAACTTGCTTAACTTAAACACCATGGAGCTGTGCAGAAGACTTTGGTCTTTGGTTATATACTAAAGTGCAGTGCAAAGAAACTGGAGGAAAGAGGAATAAATAGCTGGAAGGTCTCTCAAGTGGGAAAAAACACTTTAAGCAACCATTATGTGCATTTTTGTGAGTACATGCAGTACATTTTTAATGTAATACAATGTAAAGAGCTCATGTTTTGTATTAAACTATGTCACATAGCAACTTACTACACAGCTGGTGCCATTAAAATGAATGGAAATTAATAACTAAAACCAAAGCAGGCAGTTAAATATGATTATTAATACTAATTAATATGATGAAATGAATATGATTATTAATACTAATTAATATGATTAATAATACTACAATATGATAAGTCAAATGTCCAGTGAAAGAACAATGTCACAGCATGATTCAATGTCACAGAGTCTATGAGTTTGGATACATTTGCCACAAAGCAAGTGCTGGCAACTGCTCCATTTGTTAGGAATCTACTGACAATACAAGAAAAAAAAAATCCAGTCCATGGAAAAACTCCAAAAACACTTGAAAAAGCATACTGGGATACTCCAGAAGAAAACAGGACGCAGACAAGGAGCCAGTGCAGTTCTAGATGTAAGTTTAAGATTTAACAAATGAAGAGCAGGGATGAATTATACAAGGGCATGCATATTATTGGGCATGCGGTCTCACTTACAAATTTGGGCATAAAAAACAATTGCCATACTAAGCAGGGGCATCAAAAACAATGATAAGGCTAAAACAAAGTGACGATAATAGAATATCAGAGAATATCTGGCAGGGACTCTTGTGGGGAGAGAACGAATAGGGACTGCAATGGTTTCCGTCAGAAAAAGGAGAGGATTTTGCCCTACACGGATAAGGGAAGCGATGGGGCGGCGATGAGAGTGCCCCTCACGGCCTCGAAGGGGCAGGAGGGGCTTGAAATGAATCCGACTGAAGCAGAGACAGGCGCAGACCCGCGTGCACGGAAGCACGGCGGGCAGGAAAGGCACTGCAGAGCCCGTGAGGAACTCGGGTACCCAAAGGATTCCCCTACAGAAATCGCAGGGCAGTGACCTTTCATTTACGGTTTCACCTATAAAGGAAGAGTTCAGGAAAGTTCAGAGAGATGAAGAGTCCTCCTCAAGTGGGATTCCTCACTTAGCCTGAGGACGAGACCAACTCCCGGTGCACCCTTCTTCCCACACAGGACGTGGCCCTGTCAAAGCAAATGGATCCAAGCAGCTGTCATCAGAAAACACAAGGGAGGAGGAAAAGAGGGGAATTATACTGCAAGATAAGAAGCGAAACCTCAGGGAAAAATAAAGAAATAGATGCCCAGCGATTGATGAAAAAAAGAGCGAGTATTAATTCTGCATTTCTGTTACTTCAGTGTATTGTAATCTTCAGTCTTTGACTAAAACAGCAAGGCCAAGCTGCAGCTCCGGACGACATCCCCAGCAAGGCTGCAGACATCCATTCCCTGCATAGCACGAGAAATAAATCCGTGAGGACGTAACACGTCCAGCTTTGATTTCCAAGCAGCTCCTACAAATAAAGCACAACTGATTTTGTTCATTGAGTAAAGGCAGAAACTGAAGACCAAACTCTACAATTCACTTGTTATCCTCTCATCCTTGAGAAAAGTATGAAGTAGTAAAAAAAAACAATTTTTCATGAGTTTTCTCAGAAATGCCATGCAAATACCTAATGTACAGACTGTACTTTGAAAAGTGCATAAAGCACAATACTTGCTGTGTTTATTTTTGGAACCGAACATCACTTCTTAAAAGGCCCAGCTCCTTCAGCTCTCATTGTGGAGGCTGTCGCAGGGACTCAAGACTCCTTCACTGGTGCAACCTGTTGCAAACTACACATCCAAACGCCCACATTTAACCGTAAGCTTAGAAAGGCAATATTAGAAAAAAATAATAATTTCAGCCTTTCATGTTAGTTCCAAAACTGACTTGCAGTTTCAGTGTGGCTGAAAAGCACAACCAAAAGGCATTTTCAACCAGCAGGCAGAACCTGTATGGTTTTGTCTTCAAGAGCTGTAGAAAAAGGCTTGAGCATTTACAACGACCATTATTTTTGCAAGCATCGGATTGGGGATGGGACAATTTCCGACACAACAGCCTTATCAATCCAAGCTGCCTTGGCTCTAAACACAGTAAGAGCTGCACTAGCAGAGGGGAGAGGAAAAGGGGGTCAAGTCTCAGCGTGCATCGGTGGGAGGTTTTCCTGCCCCGCCAGCCCTGAGCATAAGCCTCAAATTTGACTCGCTGCTTCTTTAAGCTACTGTGTCCTCTTCTGTTTGTGGTAATCTTTTTAGCTGACTTTGCACAAACAGTACAACTCCTGTTCACAGACACTGAAAGGAAGCAGAAAATGGAATTTGAAATGTAAAAATAAAATAATTGTTGGCCATGGGCTATAATTTGATTTCATGCCTCACAAGGAAATGAAAGAAGACTTCCTTAAACATACTTTTCTTTTTTTAAGAAAAAAAAAAGAATATATGCTTTTTACCATGTTAGGATTTCCTCTAACTCAGGAGAGAAAATAGGATTGTAGAAAATGTACCGTTCTCAAGTATCACTGCTACTCAGGGGCAAGGCTCTGTTTTAATGTGCACTTCCCATTCTGGGCAAGAGGAAATTCTTCAATTAATAAACCGGGTGGACTGAGGCGAGTTTTTAAGGTTTAATCAATTTCATCTGCACTTTGGATAAAAAGACCGACTATTCTACTATTTTTGCCTCCGCTAGTCCCCTTTTTAAAAGAATAATAAAATCAATGTTTTATTTTAAACTCTTTGAGGTTAGTATCTCCTGTTTCAGGAAATATTGTCTATTGCATGCAGCGAGTATGAAACTTGCCCCTTCCCAGACCCCCTTTCTTGTTAGGGATCTTTATTCAAAAAGAACTAAATTATTCTGTGCTTTCACATCCTGGGACACCTCGGGAGATGCTCCAAACTGCACAGGGTTTTGCTCGGTGCCTTGGGGTGGCATGGTGATGAATAAGGAAGACGTTCTGCAGGATATGAAACCTTCCAAAAGTTAAACAGAAAAAGGAGGTGTGATGGGGAGAGAGACGTGCGCACAACCGGGGCACATGAATTTCACATGAAGAAACCCTCTGTAAAGCAATGCAAATGATGGCTCGAAATTGATACCGTAACTTTCACTAGGAAACACTTTGAAAGGATCAGGAACTCCGTGGCGTTCGAGTGTCCCACCACTGCCTCCAGGCACGCCGCTCCACCAGGCGCTCAGCAGCTGGAAGCACAAATAGGAAACTGCACAACTTCAAACTCCCTCCAGTCGGGGATATTTGCGATAGCAAAGGTCAAACTGGCAAGCCACAAGACTTCTCTGCAAATGCATGTTAAAACTGACAATTATATGCATTATATTTGATCTTTGAACAATAAAGAAATTGCTGGTTGCACAAATTCCCGTTAAATGAAAACCAGGCACCAAGGTCTCTCCTGAGCTGATGGCTACAAAGAGCCGGCAGGATATCCACAAAGGCCAGCTTCTCCAAAGTCCCCGTCTGATACTCCAAATAACCTGTCATTTACAGAGGATTTTTGTTTGCCTGTTTTTAATTCCGAGTTTGACACAACCGCAAGCAGAAACTCACGGCAAGAAATAACTGGTAATAAGGAATGAACAAGATTCTTCTGCAAAAGACCTCAACTGCAAACGCTCTTCACACACGCCAGGGTCCTGCAGACGCAGCAGTGCCCTACGCTGTCCCCAGGAGGGTGAAGGCCATGGGAGCTTCTGTCCTTCTCCATGGCAGGTTATCCAAGGATCTTCCTCGCTCATGGTTGAAGTACAGAGCTGTGTGCTTCAAAGGAAAAAGCCTATAATGATTAGAGCGAGTCTCATATGGGATTGATATTGTTTTGACAAAAGTACCTAAGAGAAATCAAAGAAACCCAGTTTTAATGTAGTTAATGCGGTTTTATGCAGTTTAATACAGTTTTGGTAAGAAATGGCTTCTAAAGAACTCAAAAAACTGCTCCACCTACACTCAGGGAAAAAAAACCTAGTCCCTATTCTGAATTTTATTCCGTAAGTTCACAGAATTTCACAGGGGTGAGCTAAGTTCCTGCTGCTGAAGGAGCTCCACACAACCTCCAGAGCCATCAGGGATGCTGCCCCGCACAGAGCCCTGAAAAAGGGCTCTGAAAGCCAAAAGTAGCTTCAAAAATAGGAAACAGGGACACATACAGTAAGTCCTTTACATACAACTACTCTTACAAATAATAATAATAACAAAATCCACATGAACTGCATACAGTGGCAGGAGCACATGAAGTTGAGGCAAGAGAAGGTTAAACAAAACCCGTGCTCACGAGAGCGGAGTTACACAATTAAAGGGAAGTAGCACAATGCTCCAAAGCTCCGTGCTCCCAGATATCCCTCCATTTCCAACAAACAACAACATGGATTTGGTATTTACACAGCTAAAATTCCTAAAGCTGTGTCCTGTTGGCTGAAGTTCTTATAAAGTTCTTATTTCTCATAAACTATTACTGCTTTTATCCTAGGTAACTGACATCAGGAGGAAATGTAAAGCAAGGAAGGCTTCACTAGCAAAGGATTTCTTGTTTTGACCCTCCTCGAAGTATTTCCTTTGACCATTTCCAAAGAGAATACAAAAATTGGAAGAATCACTAGTTTTAGCTAGCATTTCCATTCCTGTTGCTCAAATTATTTCAAGCATTTGGTGAAAACAGACAAAAAAAATGCCACAAATGGAAATGCTGTAACTGCAACTAGGAAACAAAGTGATTCCCCCATAAAATGAAGGGTTATCCTATATTCAGCCTGTGGGAAATGGGAGCAGGGGCCACCTGGGAAAAAGGCATCGTCCTTTTTTCAGACGTGGCAGTCCTTGTTCTGCAATACTACCTGTTAACAGGGCGAAATTGCAAACCTGGCAGCAAGACAGACTGAGCAGCACCCAAGGGAGGACCTCAGCTTAGTTTAAGGCCAAGCACACTAACTGCAGAAGGGGTTAAAATAAATAAATAAAAGACTGCCACAGAAAAAAAAAATCAGCTTCGCTGAATTACTCAACACCGTGGTATTTCAGTTACATTATTTTTTTCCTTGGCTTTAAGTCAGAAGTGCATAAATTGTGCATTAGTTAGCAAACATTAACTTTTTGGTGTCACTCACATATATGTGAATATCTGCAAATGCAGATATCAATAAAGCTGGAAAGTCAAATATTTAGAATACTGCACAAAACTAGCATAACAGTTACCTAACATTTAGACTGAATGTCATTATATATAGCTCATCACCCTTGGCAGCAATCCATGGCATATCCTAAGAAAAAGTTCATTTTTTCATATACTTGAAAGCAAAACAAAGCACAGGAGAACAGAAAAAAATGTGGGTTGTTTCTTTTTACCATGGAGTAACTTCTTGCTACACGTGCCTAGCTCAGTCTCACAGTCTGCTTCCAGATACCACCACATCTCAACAAGAAAAGGTCAGGTCAAATATCTAGGCTCCCAAACACCACAAGAAAATAACCCCTATAATTCCATGGTCTCCAGTGGGGAGATTTGCAATGTCGGTGTCCTGTTCTTTCAGCCTAGACTTGCCGAGATTATAAAAGAAGGTTTCCAAAACACGGTGAAATAACAAACTTTTGATATAGTTTCCAACTTTGTTTCAGAGGGCGAAGAGAACAGCACAGAAACACCAAAGAGATCCCTGGTGAACATTATTTCCCTTCAAACTGCTTCAGGTAATGAACTATGTTCTTATTTTTTTTAATATATTTTTCAAGATTGGCACAAGTATAATGGAGGCTTTCCTAGGCAAAATGTTCCTATTTTTAAATGCATTTATAGACACTGTTATATATAGGTTCAGTACTGCACTCCAAAGGAAAAAATAATAACAATGATAAAAAGATATCTGCATAATATCTGTGCTTTCTGTACATGAAGCACTCCACTAATATTTCAGTCTCTCCATCTTTTCAAGCTATTTTTTTTTTTTTTTACAAGATGACCCTACACTGAAGTTACATTATCATGCACAGGATTCCATCACAGAGCCC